AAGCAGACGGGTCCCAGCTGAGCAGGGAGCCCGATGCGGGGCTCGATCCCAGGACCCTGGGATCACAACCTTAGCCGAAGGCAGACGCTTAATGACTGAGCCACCCAGGCACCCCCGTTCTTGCTACTCTTACTATCTGTGAGTGGACTAGGAAAGACATTCCCTAAGGTAACTTCTTGCCTTTGTGTTGGTCCTCAGAGGTAGGTCATCAACCTTCCGCATTCAGAGTTTCATCTTTTAACTTAGCAATCATCCCCTGGGGCAGTGCTGGAGGGAGAGCAAGGAGCGTGACAGCCCCCCCCCCCCCCCCCCCCCCCCGGCAGAGAGCAAGACATGCCACACCCGTCCCTGACAGTGATGACATAAAGTGGGCAGGGATGGGTTGCAGAGCCCAGGGAACGGGGAAGACTGGGAGGCGGTGCTCGCACAGCCTGGGGGCCAGGGAAGGTTTCCTGGAGGAGGTGATATTACTAGACCAAGGGGAAAGTGGAGGGAGTAGATAGTAAAATGAGAAATAAATAATTGGAGAATCCCAATGCAAAGCCTGCTCTCCCTTTCAGGTAATCTGTAAGGTCCGTAATAACAGTGCAAGATATTGATCACTTGCTAAGAGTGAGGTGGGGTTGGGTGGGTAGGTGCTTTACATTCGTGACCCCACTAGGTCCTTCCAAAACCCTGGCGGTGCATAAGCGGGAGGGAAATGCTTCGTTTATGGAAAGAGGAAGAAACTGAGACCCAAAGAGATACGTCACTTGTCCGGGATCATTTAGAAGGTCAGCAGCACAACCAGAGTTTAAATCCAGGTCACACCTCCACTCAATTCATAGATAAAGCTTAAGAGCCGCTGATAGACTTTTTTCTGATCCTCCGTACCACCCTCCCCAGGCCAGGGTTCTCGCAACACGTGCCCAGGCTTGGGACAGTACAGAGAGACGTAGCTAGGAAAAAGTATGAAGTTCTTAGAGCCCTGGAAGCCGAGTCCAGAGTAGCGAAATCTTCTAGGAAGCAAAGATCACCGCGGAGCGCGCGTGCGGTCTAAACTAGGTGGCCCGAAGGCTTGGGGAGGGGCTGGCGGCTGTGAGAACCCTGAAACAGTAGTTCTGAACGCACGGGAAAACTCTATCTAACCTAAGGGGACTTAGAAGAAAGGCTTGCTTTAGGAAAAGGGGTCCGAAGGTGACGGCATCAGCCGAAGGCCCGCCCCCTGAGTCTGGGTACGGTGGCCACGGAGGTTCAGGGATCACGGAGAGGAGCGCTTCGAGCAGAACGTTTTGAGGCGTTACGGTAGCCGGGAAAGCTCAAGAAACACGAAAACGGAAAGGCCTTGGAGAATCGCCGAGGCGGGCAGCATGGTCTACAAGGCTCACATAAATGGAAGAGGCGGGTTTACTCGAGAAAGCAAAGGGAATGCAGCCTGTGGTAAGCTCCTACGCTGGCCGAGAAAGCCCGGAAGTTCAAAGCCGGGAGAACGTCTACTAGGTGAAAGACAGGCGGCTGAGAGGAGGCGGAGTACGGTGGCCCGGCTGGTTCGTTCTTAGCCGGAAGCGGCTCTCTAGAGAGGCGTGGCTTAAGCGCTCCTGCCGGATACGGTGGCTGGCGGGTCGGGCTAAGTGTGAAATCTCGCGCGATCGCGCTGGCACCGTCGGGGACGGGGCGGGGCTGGCGGCGGGGGCGGGGACCCGGAGCAGGAAGATGGCGGCGGCGCAGGAGGCGGACGGGGCCGGCAGCGCCGTGGTTGCGGCCGGGGGAGGCGGCTCCGGTCAGGTACGGAGGCCGAGAGGGGCCTGAGGGGTTCTTCCCCACCCGGGGGGCCTCCCACGGGGCGTGTCCTGCCCCTTTTCGCGGAATCCCGTGCATTGGGGGCTCCTTGCCCAGAGGGACCTTGAGTACCGGGCCCAGGCGGGGCCGGGCAGCCCTGGAGGCCGGACAGTGCGGGGAGCGGGGCCCTGTTGCACGCCGGGTCCCCTGCACGCTCGCGCTGGGCGGCCATCAGGCTCTTTGGCTCGAGCCGGGAGACAGTAGCACGGAGGGGCGCAGACTTACACCCAAGCGCTCTGGTTCTCGACTCTGCGATTCCAGGCTCCAAGACCTTTCCTAAAGTGGACCGGCGTTTAGGGTCTCCCTTGCAGTACCTGGGATGTGGGCAGTGATTGATTAATTGGGAGTTTTCTAGCTCTGGGGAAGTCGGGGAATCATCGTGGGTAAGGGCACGGGCTGTGGAGGCCGACAGACCCACTTTACAAACGGGAATCCCAGAAAGAATGAGACTAAGGCGCTTGCAGAAGGTCACCCAGGTTGGGTTTGGGATCCATTCCATGTAGAAGTGACCAGACATTGCTGACCCAGGGTGGTCAGGACTGGGATGGGTGTGCTTTCAGCATAAACTAATCCCACCGGGGAGTTAGTCCAGGTGCTGATCACTTCTGATCCATTGCTGCCTCAACTAAACCAAAGCTGCAGAACATACTAGTTCAGGCATCCATCCTTCAGGCATTTAGGGAATGGATGGAGTGACAGTAAGGTGCTGTCGACCCACCCACTGGGATGTCACTGACGTGGGAGGCAGCACAGGGAAGAGGAGTGCAGGTTGAGAGGGAAGAATGAAGCTGACTTTCTGTGTGACCTTGGACAAGTTCCTTGCCTTCTTTGGGCCTTCATTTCTCCAGTGGTAAGTAGAGGGGTTGCACAGGATGGCCAGCCATGCGATGGGTCACAAAGATGGTTCCAGCCATGTCCCTGCCGTCAGTGGAGTGGGAGAGAAGATTGACATGTAGAGAATTACAATCCTGAATGACTAGGATGGTGACAAAAGTCTGTGCCAGGGACTGAGGGAGCCCAGAGGAGGGGCAAATAATATCACCTGGGGAGGACGCCAGGATGAGATTTGTGTGATAAGAGCCCAACATGCTTGGTTCAGCATCTGTAAGCAGGGTCTGGCCTGGGGGCGGCCTCAGGAAATATTTGTTGAGTTAGCTCTAGAATGAAGACTCAGTCCCTTGTCATGGGGGGGGGGGGGGCTTCCCGGTCTTGCTGAAGGAAGGTCTTTCCCCTGCCTCTGAGTTTCTGTTGATCACTGGGGGTGGAGGGTGGGGTGGATCAGAGAGACTAGGGTTCAGGTCACCCCAAATGCCAGGCTTCCAGGGATCCCCTGATTTTCTCTTGTCCCACCTCTGCTTAAAACCTTTCAAGACTTATTCCTTTGCCTTCAGGGTAAAGCACAAATTCTTTAGTAGATCAAGGCCTTGCATGATCTGAATTTTCTTCAGACTAGACTAAGATTTCTCAGCCTCAGCATTATTGACGTTTTGAAAGGTTGGTTAATTTTTTGTCGTGGGGGGCTGTCCCACGCATTGTAGGATGTTTAGCAGCATCCCTGGCCTCTCTACTCACTAGATGTCAGTAGCCCACATACCCCTTTCCAGTTGTGCAGTCAAAAACGTCTCAAACATTGCTAAATGTCCTCTAGGAAGCCCTCTCTGACCCTCTCAGACTGGGTCAGGGCTCCCACGGCCCCTGGGCTCTCCTGTCCCAGCCCTGTCTGCTCTGGGTTATATCATCTGCCTGTCTCTTCCGCTGGACTGAGAGCCCTTGGAGGGCAGAAGCTGTCAACGCTGTGTCGCCTGCACTGCCCAGCTTGGGACCAGGCACAGAGCAGGTGCCCAGTGTTTGTGGAATCAACAGATGTTGAGGCAGAGCCTGGGCTGGGATGGAATTCCTATGGTGGATCAGGCAGTCAGTGAGGATGTGCTGGAAAGCCTGTCTTCACGCTCCCGGCCCAACTTCATGGTCTCAGCTGCTTGTGGGTCCCTTAGCCAGTGGTTCTGTAGATTGCGTGTGAGATTGGATATGTGGGTCCCAGAGGAGGAACTGTGTTTTAGTCACTACTGTGTCCATAGCCACCGTACCCTCCCCGGGCCTGTGGGGCCTAGCACAGAGTGGGTGGACCCTCAGCAATCTCATGCTCCCGCCAACCTGCTTCTCCAGCCAGGGGCTCAGACACAGGGCCCTTAGCCCTGCCTTTCATTCCTTCAGCTAATGTATACTGAGTCCCCATTCCATACAAGGCCCCAGGCTAATGCTGGGGCTACAGCTGTGAACAGAACAGTCCCTGCCCTCTTGGAGCTCATGTTCTATTTAAGAGCTGGGCGGCAGGGATAGAAGAATGGACAGGAAAACAGTGAATAAGATAAAAAATACATATAGCGGGTCAGATGGTGATAAATGCCATGGACAGAGTAAAGCTGGGGAAGAGGATAGGAAGTGAGGGGTGGCTAGGAGGAGGGTTGCAGTTTAAACAAGGTAGTTTGGGAAGGCCTCGCTGAGGAAGTGACTTTTTTTTTTTTTTAAGATTTATTGAAAGAGGGGGAGCGAGAGCTAGCATGGGGAGGGGCAGAGAGAGGGAGAGAGAAACTTTAGCAGACTCTGCTCAGCACAGAACCTGACGTGGGGTCAATCCCACAACCCTGACATCATGACCTGAGCCGAAATCAAGAGTCGGTCGCTTAACGGATGGGCCACCCAGGGGCCCCTGAGGAGGGGACATTTGAACAAAGACTTGAAGGAGAGGAAGGAGGGAGGCATGCAGATATAGAGGGGCGGGAACCTCTCAGGTAAAGGGAACGGCCCATGCAAAGGCCCTGAAGCTGCAGATGCCTGGCTGTTGGAAGGAACAGTGAGAGGCCTTGTGGCTGAAGCCAGTGAATGCGGGGAGAGGGGTGAAAGTAGAGAGGCAGGGAGGGGGCCAGATCAGGCCAAGACGTGGAGGTCAGCGTGAAGATTTCGCCTTTACTCCAAGGGAAGTGGAAGCCACAGGAGAGTTACCTTTCTTTTGCAGCATAATAGATAACACAGCATTCACCTGTCGTCGGTATGGAGTTCAACGGCGTTTAGTGCAGTACAAGCATCACCACCCGGTCCCCATCCCCTCAGAACATTCCAGCTCCCTTTCGCAGCCACTCTGCCCCCAGCAGGGCTCCTTTTTATGACTGAGTAGCATTCCATTGTATGGATACCCCATGTTCGTTCATCGAGGGGCATCGCAGGTGTTTCTGGCTATTACCAATAATGCCCCCGTGAGCATTTGCGCGTGAGCTTTCCCCTGTCTGTACGTTCTCCTTTCTCTTGGGTAGAGACCTAGGAGTGGGGCTGCTGGTTTGTATGGCAGGTGCACATTTCACTTTTTATTTTTATTTTATTTAAAAAGCTTTTTTAAAAGATTATTTATTTATTTGAGAGAGCGCGCGAGAGAGCACGAGCAGGGGGAGAAGCAGTGTCCGTGCTGAGCGAGGAGCCTGACGTGGGGCTCGATCCCAGGACTCCAGGATCGTGACCTGAGCCGAAGGCAGACACTTAACTGACTGAGCCCCCCAGGCGCCCCACACATTTCGCTTTTTAATTCTCTGCCGTACTTTTCAAAGCCCCAGCTCCGTTTCCCCACCAGTAGTATACAGTCGGTCCGGCTTTTGCACACCCTCACCAACACTTGTGATTGTCCATCATTTTGATTGTGGCCAGCATCGTGAAGTGGCTTCTCATTGCAGTTTCCATTTACATTTCTGTGGAAGGGTTTCCAGCCAGCTTGAGTGGAGCCAGGTCCAACAGACCTGGGGGTCAACCAGACATGGGTTCAAATCCTGGCCTGGCCTCATTTTCTGTTTCTTGACGGGAATCAGCTCAGACCTGCTGGAAAGCCTTACTTGGCCCCCGCTGCTCCCAGGAGCAAGGCCAGCCCTGAATGAGGGGGCCCTGTGCCTGTCTCTGACCTTGCCTGGTCCCCCAGCCAACCACTTCCCTGAACTTGTCCCTCTTCCAGCATGCCCTTCACCCAAATGTCAAAAATAGCTCCTCAGGCAGGCCTCTGACTACCTAATCCAAAGTGGCTCCCCGTCCCCACCCCAGTAGCCATCATCTGCCCCTGCTTCTTTCCTCCAGAGCAGTTCTCCCATTTACCAGTTTGAATGATCCTGTTGACTGTTCTGTGGGTGTGTTCCCCTCTAGACCCTGAGCTCCAGGAGGGCAGGGTCCAGAGCTGTCTGCTCACTCACTGCCTAGCATAGAGCCTGGCGCATACTAGGTGCTCAGGAAATATTTTCTGTCTATAACACACCAGTACTTTTTCAACCTGGCCCTTGTGTCGGAGACGGGAAGTGACGCGCCCAAGATGTCACAGCCAGGAACTGCAGGATCCCAGAGCCCTACCTTTTGCCATGGTGGTGTCCCGCACACTGGGAGATACAGGGACGAGCTCTTGCTGGTGAAGGGGACAGGGCATGACAAATGCCAGAGAGGGGGTGGGCTCGGGGCTGTGGCGGGGGGGAAGGCTGGGCAGTGGAGGCCTGGAGGGGAGTGGTGTGGGGGGCCTGGGTGCTGGGGGCAAGCCCTTCAGGGAGCACATGTTGATTCCACAGGTGTTTACTGAGCCCCTGCTCTGTGCTGGGCGGTGCTTCTGCCCAACGGTGACCATGACAGTCCTGATCCTGCCTCTTGAAGGCGGAGCGGTGAGGGGACAGAGCTGGGAGGAGGAAGAGGACAGGATCCGGGAACCAGCAGGTGCAAGGAGAGGGGCGGGAAGAACTTCCCCATCTCAGGCCCTTCCTGACATCATGAAATTCCCTGCCTCTGAGCTTCTGTTTCTGAGTGAAGATTCTTCTTCTGGGAAGCCCTGCCTGACCTCCCTGGCCTACCCACCCCCTTGTCATCCTGCTGCCCTTTTCCTTCCTGAGTGACCCAGACAAGTGGGTCAGCCTCCCTGCGCCTCCATTTGCCCTGCCGCTGAGTGGAGATGTTCATGGTGCTGGCCCCGCAGGGCAATGTGTGCTGTTCGTGGTACGGACCTGTCATGGCTCACACTCTGGCTGTGTTTTTCTACGTCTGTCTCCTGCTGGATAGGAGCCCCTGGAGGGACAGGCCCGCACAGGGCTGGCCACAGAGGAGGCCTTAGGAACTATTTGCCCAGGGAAGGACCTCTCAAACAAACCCAAGCCTTACAGAATCTGGCCCTGGTCACCCTTCTGCATTTCCCCCAGTGGCCACCTTGCATCCTGGGCTCTGGCTTCAGGGAGCAGTGTGGGCAGTCCTCATCACCAGACTTTCTTTCCCCTTCCTTTCTGTACTTGCTGCCTCCTCCGCATTGCCCCCTTGTTATATTTTAGGCCTCAGCTCCAACGGTCCCTTCCTCCAGGAAGCCCTCCCTGACTTCCAGGCTGGATCAGAGGTCCCCTCTGGGATCCTATAACTCCATCCTGTCCACTCTGGTTCATCCCTGTCTGGGGACTCTTTGGCTCCCCCGACCGGACTGTGATCCCAAGGAGGGCAGCACAGGGCTGTCTCGGTCACCTCTGTGTCACCAGCACAGAGTAGGTTTTGGGGGAGTGTTTTTGTCTTGAAGGAATAAGATCCATCGCCCTTCCTGGGTGATTTTATTCATTCATTCTCCACTTGCTGATCAAGCACCTACTCTGTGCTTAGCCCTGTGCTGGGCCTTGGCATGCAGTGGTGCCTAAGACAGCCCCAGTGCCTCAGGGGGCACCCTCCCTCCTTAAGCTCGTCTCTGTTTCCTGCAGGTGACCAGCAATGGCAGCATCGGGAGGGACCCGCCGGCGGAGACCCAGCCCCAGAACCCACCACCCCAGCCGGCACCCAACGCCTGGCAGGTCATCAAAGGCGTGCTGTTCAGGTGAGCAGATGATGGTTAGTTTTGTTCACTGAAAAAAATCCGAATAAGGAAAGCATAGGGAAGAAAGGAAAAAGTCACTGGGGATGACCATCACCCTATCGGTGGAGATCTTTTTCTTTTTTTAATATGACAGAGTTTTTTTTTTTTTTTGTGGTGGTGGTAAAATATACTGTTGTGGGGTTTTTTGGTTTGTTTTTTAAGATTTTATTTTTAAGTAATCTCTACACCCAATGTGGGGCTTGAACCCACGACTCCCAAGGTCGAGAGTCCCAAGCTCTACTGACTCAGCCAGCCAGGAGCCCCTAAAATATACTGTATTAATTTGCTAGGGCTGCTGTAACAAATAGCTCAGGCTGGGGGTGGTGGCGCTTAAGCAACAGAAATTTATTTTCTCACAGTTCTGGAGGCTACAAGTCTGAGATCAAGGTGTCAGCATGTCTGGTTTCTTCTGAGGCCTCTGTCCTTGGCTTAGATGGTCATTTCCTGTGTCCCTACATGGCGTTCCCACTGTGTGTGTCTGTGTCCTAGTCTCTTATAAGGATACCAGCCCGCCCTAGTGGCCTCACTTAGCTTTAATCACCTCTTTAAAGGCCCTGTCTCCAAATACAGCCACTGAAGTACTCAGGATTAGGACTTCAACATATGAATTGGCCGGGGAGGGGGGATTGGGAGGAGGGAACAGGGACACACAGCTTAGCCACAACACATACATTACGTAAAACCTTCCGTTTTAAAACCTATTTTTAAGTGCACAGTTGTGCAACCGTCACCACCAACCATCCCATCCATCTCCAGAACTTTTTCATCTCCCCAAACCGAAACTGTATCCATTAAGCACTTATCCTCCATTTGCCTTCCCTCCAGCCCCTGGCACCCAGCATTCTACTTTCCGTAGCTATGAACTTGACTGCTCTACTTACCTCATATAAGTGGAGTCCTACAGGCTGTCCATTTGTGCCTGGCTGGTGGTGATCTTTGTATGGGTGCATTCAAATGGTCATTTCCTGGGCCGTGGGAGCACGGGGCCTGCCTTCTAGAAGCCCAGCCTCTCACCGAGGCCCTCGGGAGATGCTGGGTGGGGGTGGGGAGATTTCGTGGGGCTGAGTTCTGCCTCTGTAGGCCTGGACCTGGTGACAATTCCCTTCTCTGCTCTGGGCTTTTTTTGCCCATCTGCAAAATGGACATTTCTTTGTCTTTCCGGACACATATTTTAGTGAAATGTTCAAGAGACAGGCTACGCATTTAAGCAGGCACTTTCTGTCCTTATCAGCTATAAGGAGTTTCGTGGCAGAGTTGTTTGATAGTTTATTAAGATTTTATTTAAATTCCAGTGAGTTTGGGGCGCCTGGGTGGCTCAGTTGTTAAGCGTCTGCCTTCGGCTCAGGTCATGATCTTGGGGTCCTGGGATCGAGCCCCGCATCGGGCTCCCTGCTCTGCAGGAAGCCTGCTTCTCCCTCTCCCACTCCCCGCTCCTTGTGTTCCCTCTCTCGCTGTCTCTCTGTCAAATAAATAAATAAAATTTTTAAAAATAATTTCCAGTTAGCCTACAGTGTATTAGTTTCAGGTGTACAATATAGTGATTCAACAATTCCATACATCACCTGGTGCTCATCATGACAGGTGCACTCCTTCATCCCCATCACCCATTTCACCCATCCCACACCCATCTCCCCTCTGCTAACCCGCAGTGTGTTCTCTGTAGTGAGGAGTCTGTTTCTTGGTTTGTCTTTCTCCCTCTCTCTCTTTTTTTCTTTCCTTTACCTGTTTGTTTTGTTTCTTAAATTCCACAGATGAGTGAAATCCTTCTCTTATTTTGCTTAGCATTTAGCTCCATCCATGTCTGGCAAATGGCAGGCTTTCATCCTTTTTTATGGCTGAGTAATATTCCATTACACACACACACACACACACACACAGGCACACGCACATTTTCTTTATCCATTCATCCATCAGTCGATGGACATTTGGACTGCTTCTAAAATTTGGCTATTGTAAATAATGCTGCTGTAAACATCAGGGTGCATGTATCCCTTTGGATCAGTATTTTTGTATCCTTTGGGTAAATACCTAGTAGTGCAGTTGGTGGGTCTAGGGCAGTTCTATTTTTAACTTTTTGAGGAACCTCCGTGCTGTTGTCCACAGCGGCTGCACCCATTTGTAATCCCACCAGTGGTGCGGGAGGGTTCCTTTTTCTCCACATCCTCACGTGGCCTGAGTTGTTTAAACCAGTCCTCCCCTTGGCTAGGACAGCCTCACATGGCCGTGGCCTGCTACCAGGGAGCCTGGGAAATGTGGTCTTTATTCTGGGAAAGGAAGCACCCTGCTGAAAGCAGGAATTTCGTTCCTGAGGAAGAAGAGTGGTTTGGGTGAGCCAACTACTTGTCTCTTCCAGGCTGTCTTACTTGTTTTTTGTTTTTTTTTTCTAAACTTATAAATAATACACGCTTATTGTAGAAAGTAAAATCAAAGAATACAGATGTGTAGAAAGAAGAAAGTAACAGAAGCGTAACGGATCGGTGGCCATCCCATAAGCACACCCCTGCAGTTTGCCTTCAATGAGATTGTAGAAGGTGCTCACAGACAGTTGTTGAAATGAGAGAAAAACTGCGAACAGCCTGCTTGTCCAAACTGGAGGATCAGCTACGGAAATGGGGGCAGGGGGCGCTGGTAGAATCAAATGATGTGTAGGAGCGCTGGTCTGTTCCCACATCTCAGTCCCCCTGCCTCTGAGCCGTGTGTCCTGGTTGGCTGATGGTCCCTCTTGTGCCTGAGTTTCCATCTCAAGAGTTCGGAATCCTGCCAGTCAGCTCGCAGGTCAGGAAAGGATGCTACGAGGCTCTGGTGCCCGCCCAGAATTGGCCAGGATCACTTTTGTTGTTGAGTGTTAAAAAACTTTAGAAAATTACAAAGAGAAACCGCTGGCGGGGGCCAGGGATCCCCACCGTGCCAGACGGAGTCAGCAGTCACATTTTGGTGTGGGCCAGGCCTACCGGCCTGGTGCCCTCCGACCGTGCCACCCAGGATGCGAAATTCCTCGCTGTTCCGCCCGTACCCTTGGGCGCCATCCCTGACGTGCCCCCGATCTTCTTCCACTGCAGAGCCTCCGTTCCCTCCCTTCTCCGTTCTACTGTGCCCCGCCATGTCCAGTAAAGACCTGGAGTTTTCTTACCTATCAGTTTCTTTTTTTTTTGTGCTCCAAGCAGCTGCGAATAAAGATTATTTTTATCTTTCCCTTCGCTTTTACATAAGAGCAGCCTATTTTACACAGTTCTGCACCTTGATTTTTTCTCATTAACAATGTATCTTAGAAATCTCTCCACATCAGTACATAAGGGCACTTCCTTCAGATAGACATTTTTAAAAAAGTCCCAGCTTAGGCTCATTTCCTCCCTTAGAACCAGGCCGCACCGAACAGCCTGGCTGGAGGCCCAGAGAACATCTCATCTGGCATTCTGACAGTGGGGTTCAGGGTTTGTTTTCAGGGGCCGGTGAACTCTCCAAAGCTTCGAGTAGATTGCATGGGAATGGCCTTTTTTGGGGGAGAGAGAGTGGAGTCTGGTCTTCAGCGCCTGTTCACGTTAGACCCCTGGTTACCTGGCGTGGGGGATGGGACGGGAACCGGGTGGGAAAATGGATGAGGTGGGAGAGTTTTCATTCTATCTTTTTATCTATTTAACATCTTTCTGAGCCTGTGAACGTAGGATACCTAGGTGGGGTGGGAGGGAAGATCGAACATCTCTTTTCTTTGCTGAGTCCAGGAGGTTGAAAAGCATTAGGGGGGCGCCAGCCCCCTATAGGCCTGTTGTCAGAGGGTAGGGCTTCCTGGCCTGGGATGTGTGGATGGAGGGGTGTGGCCATGTGCCCTCTGAGAGGACCCACAAAACTGTGGGTGTGCAGGTAACACACAGGTACTCTTCAGGGGACTGGGGATCTGGAATCCCTAAAAAACGTCTGGTCCAGTCGGTCTCATTTTACACATGGGGACCCAGAAGCCCAGAGGGGGTGGGACTCCTGCAGGCCACACACAAGGCAGGGCTGCAGGTGGGTGTCCTTGCTCCCACATCCTCCCTTGGCATATGTACTAAAACGGGAGCCTCTCTTGGAGGTGGAGGGTTCCCCCGAGATTACCAGTTCCAGACCTTTCTCGGCCGTGTGCGTCAGGGACTTCTTGGGGAGGCAGCAGATGGCTCAGCTGGGCCGTGGCCCCTCAGACCCCAGACCCCAGGGCTCCAGGGCTTCTACCGGCAGAGACAAGTCCCTGTGCCTGATCCTGCCCTCCGGTGTGGTTTGGGGCCCACCTACACTAGAATTCCCTTGTAGTATTTTTCCATTCCAAAGGGTTTGTCTGCCTCTTTTCCTATGATGAAACTAATAATAGCTAACACTTCCAAAGTACTTCGTGTATACCGGGCTTCATTCTGGATGATACATATTTATCATGGGTGCATATGTGTATATACTTAGATACAGATACAGATATATATCCATGCATTTAATGCTTACAAACAACCGCATGAGGTAGGTAGTGTCATTATCCCCATTTTAACTGTTGAGGAAACAGAGGTCTGGAGAGAGGTTAGGAGTCTTGCCTGAGGTCACACAGTTGGTAAGAGATAGAGCTGGGCTTCACATCCAGGTATTGCAGCTTAGAGGCTGAGCACTTAACCTCTGCTATATTGCTTTTCATAGTAATTAATAAGTACTTGTCTCATTTAATAATTACACAGCAGCATGTGTCTGAGAGACCTGAATTAACACAATAGAAGTATTTTATTTCTCTCTCGTGTACTGGTCTGGCTTAGACCAGGATTCTGCAGTCTTCTGCAACCCAGATTCTTTCTTGCTTTTTGTTCAACCATCACTAGGTTTTGCCCTTTATCTGCATGGCCTAAGATGCTGCTGAAGATCCAGCCATCGCATCTGCATTCTAGGAGGGAAGAAGAAATCAAGGAGGCATGCTCTGTCTCTTTAATGACACTTTCCCAAAGCCCAGCACAATACACGTTGTTTACGTTTTATTGGCCAGGACTTCACCCTGTGTCCACTCCTAGCTATAAGCAAGGCTGGAATTATAATCTTTATTCTGGGTAACCAAGGGGTCCGGCTAAAATTTAAGAGTTTCCTTTTTGAGACAAAAGGGGAAGATGGATATGGGAAACATCTAGCAATCTGCTATACTTTTGTTTGGAGGCTTTTCTTTTGTTCATTAAAAAGTAAGAAAGAAATTCAAGAAGAAAAGCCTAAAGAAGAACATAAAAATCACCTGCGGAAAACCATCATTCATCATTGTTGTATTGGTTGTGATCCTTTTACATGTTGATTCATATAAATGCTGGGGTTTTTTTGTTTTTGTTCTATTTCTTATTTTTTTTAAAAGATTTTATTTATTTATTTATTTGACAGACACAGCAAGAGAGGGAATACAAGCAGGCAGTGGGAGAGGGAGGAGCAGGCTTCCCACTGAGCAGGGAGCCCAATGTGGGGCTCGATCGCAGGACCCTGGGATCATGACCCGAGCCGAAGGCAGACGCTTAACGACTGAGCCACCCAGGCGCCCCTTGTTTTTGTTTTAAAGTGAGCTCTGTGCCCACCCTGGGGTCTGAGCTCACGACCCCGAGATCAAGAGTCGTATTCTCCACACACTGACCCAGCCAGGTACCCCTGGTTTTTTTATTCAGAATTTTTTAAGGCACTGTTGTGTTTTTGCTTATCTGTATGCCTTCCCCTACTCCCCCAAACCAGGAAATCCATTTGAAAGTCTGATCTGTATCATTTCATACCTTTCTCTGTTTTTATTTCAATGTAAAGCAAATACATGGTTTGGGGTTTTTTGGGGTGCGTGTGTTTTTGGTTTTGTTTTGTTTTTTTAAAACGGACAGCTTTTTTTTAAAGATTTTATTTATTTGACAGAGAGACAGCAAGAGAGGGAACACAAGCAGGGGGAGTGGGAGAGGGAGAAGCAGACGGGTCCCAGCTGAGCAGGGAGCCCGATGCAGGGCTCGATCCCAGGACCCTGGGATCATGACCTGAGCTGAAGGCAGACGCTTAACACCTGAGCCACCCAGGCACCTCGTATTTTGTTTTTTTAAAGATTTTATTTTTAAGTAATCTCTACCCAAGGTAAAGCTTGAACTCACGACCCTAAGATCAAGAGGCACATGTTTAGGGTCCCTGGGTGGCTCAGTCAGTTAAAGATCTGACTCTTGATCTCAGCTCAGGTCTTGATCTCAGGGTCGTGAGTTCGAGCCCTGTGTTGGGTTCCATGCTGGGTGTGGAGCCTTCAAAAAAAAACAAAAAAAAAGAGTTGCATTCTCTACTGACTGAGCCAACCAGGCGCCCCAGTATGGTACTTCTGAAGGTCTCTTGATACAAATTTTGAGGTTTTTTTTATAACAACAAATTCTGAAACATCAGAGTTCAGTTGTTCTGAGCATCTCAAAGTTATGTATAAGAATAATTTCAGGCCTAGGATGACCATATTTTCCTCCAGAGAGGACGTGCTTTCCTTCTGCTGCTGGCTGCTTGGGGCATCATCCATCCGGGGTCTCCTTGCGCCAAGTTCAAGGCTCTCGCTGTGTCTACCTGGTGACTCCCTGGGAAGACTAGGCCTTGCCTGCCTCCCCTGGTCTTGGATGTGGCACCTTGTGGGGTCTTAGCTCTCTGGTTACCCCGTGTGGGCCCTCAGCTAGCATTTGTTACCCATCAACATACCTCGCAAATGTCCTCAGACACAAAAAGAAGCTTCTGTTGTTTTTTTACTTCTTTTGGTTCCAGTCTTCCCTTCAGTTTTTGCCTGGTAAATCTACAGTCTTGTCCATTTAGTGTTTTTAAGAATGTATACTTACATATACTCATACGTAAATTTGATAAAGAACATATATGAGCAGAACATATTCTTGTTATATCAGGATACATAACTATATATGTAAAACTAGTACTAATACGTTCTTAGTATATTCATTTTTACTAAGTTTTTCCAGTTGGCTGCTTCCAGCAGCAGCGTTGGTCTGAATACCCTAGGCCAATATTACTACAAATTGGGACTAACCCTTTACTTACTCTCCCCTTCTCAAGCGTTCAATTGATCTAAGTTCTAAAATGTTGCTCTCAAAGGTGCTGTGCATCTAAAATGCTGAGATTCCAGGTTCTTAGGGTTCCCTGACTTTGGGATTCTGGGGGCCTGGCGTACTAGGTTTCCTAGGTCAGAGGTTAGAAGGTCCAAGCCCCGCGTCCCTGTGGCCACTGGGGGCTTCTGGAGGACTCATGGGGCGGGGGTCTGCGTGGAAATGGGGGCAGCACCCCGGACATGGCATCTGGGGGCATCTTGGCTTCTCACCTGTCTGGTGACTGCCTTCTTAGGGGCCCTCCCTCCTTGGTTGCCAGCCCTGGGTCAGGCCCCCAGCGTGTGCTGTGTCAGAAGGAGGTCAGGTGGGCCCACGATAGAAAGAAAAGGCTTGGGACTCACCGTCTGCCCCTCTTGCCTCCTCAGGATCTTCATCATCTGGGTCATCAGCAGCTGGTTCCGCCGAGGGCCGGCCCCTCAGGACCAGGCAGGCCCTGGAGGAGCTCCGCGCGTCGCCAGCCGCAACCTGTTCCCCAAAGACACTTTAATGGTAACTGCTGGCTGGGAGGCCAGACTCGGGAGGCGACCGTGTGGGGGAGGGTGTGAGGGAGTGACAAGGGCATTTGGGACAGACAGGTCCCTCGTCGCTGTCAGCTGGGTACAGGACCAGGGTTGAGGAACTCCGGGTCCATCCTCGGCCCATGAGGCCTGCGTCACTAGCAACACCCCTGAGGAAAAAGTAAATTCTTTCAGTTTTGTGGGGAAGAGGGACAGCAAAGGTTTCACTCAGCTGTTTAAAAACTGTTTTAACAGGGTCCTAACATAACCTATTTCAAAAGCACATTCAGGTCTTAAAAGTTGCAAAGGGGGAAGAAAAAAAAAGTTGCAAAGGGAGGTGTGCAGGGAAGGGAAGCAGTGGGAAAAAGAGAGAGAGAGCAGGGAGCCAGACAGAGCGGCCCACGAGAGCCAAGCGACAAGAGGGAGGCGTGTGCTGTCCTGCCAGGTCCAAGGGTCCAGGGCTTGGGGTTCGGGAACCCCACAGGGAGTGCCCGGACCCCAGTAATTGAGACTTCTCCCACCTTTCGCTTCTTGCACAGAATTCCAGTTAGCGGGGGGTGACCACGGCTCAGCGAGGCTCTCTGTCAGCGGGCCTTCAGGGCTCTGTTCGGAGATGGCCACGGGCACCTGAGAAGGGAGGGCACTGTCTGCGGGCCAGCTCTGCACTTCCCCTGTGTTGTCAGGAGTCCGCTAACCCTCTCGCAGCTCTGGGCTTTCTCCGTGAGCCTGCAGACCTCTGACCAAGCAGGCTGTAAGAGAAGGGAGAAGATCATGCAAGGAGACTTGATCCCTTCTGACCCCAAATTCTACCTTTTCTTTTTTTTTAAGATTTTATTTATTTATTTGACAGACAGCAAGAGAGAGAACACAAGCAGAGGGGAGTGGGAGAGGGAGAAGCAGGCTCCTGGCTGAGCAGGGAGCCCGATGTGGGGCTCGATCCCGGGACCCCAGGGATGATGACCTGAGCCGGGGGCAGACACTTAACCAACTGAGCCACCCAGGCACCCCCTTTATTTTGGTTTTCAAAGTAAAAATAATGGGGCTCAAACTCAGTTGCATGCCCTACTGACCAAGCCCGTCAGGTGCTGAGCCCAAATTCTAATTGGCAGGCCAGCCATTCTTCCACTGCTTTTCGCTCATGCACGCCACAGCCTCAGGAGAGGTAGGGTGGGGGGTGAGGGCTACTGTTCTTCACTGGCCCCCCCCCCGCTCCCGCCACAAAGTCCTTCATCTTAGCACATCGACCGATGCCCCGGCTCTTGGTCTGCGCCTTCTCTGGCCGCCTTCAGAGGCTCTCGGCAGCAGCTGAGCTCCCTCCCCGCCCCTCCCCTGCCCGCAGAACCTGCATGTGTACATCTCCGAGCACGAGCACTTTACAGACTTCAATGCCACGTCAGCGCTGTTCTGGGAGCAGCACGACCTTGTGTACGGCGACTGGACGAGCGGCGAGAACTCGGATGGCTGCTACGAGCACTTCGCCGAGCTCGACATCCCACAGGTGGGGCCGGCTCCTGGGCTCTGGCTCTAGGGCTGCGCTGCTCACGCTGGAGGGCCTTTCCTTGAACCGGCTCTGGGTCCTGCAGCCTGAGTTCGGGCTCCGAGCCTGACGCTGCCACGATCCACCTGCTGTGTGACCACAGGGAGGCCCCGGGGGTCCCTCGGCCTCGGCCTCCCCAGCTGACAAATGTGAACAGGGTTGGAATTGGCCTCGGATCTTCCAACTACCTACAGGGGCGTGTAAACCTGTGCTTTAAACCAGTGAAAGATGAGTAACCGACCTTGGGGGTGCCGGCAGCCCTGTTTGAAAGTGGTAGTTAATACCGATGGAGCACTTGGTGTGTGCTCCGTAGTAAGCGGGAGCCTCTCTGCTGCCTTGTGAAGTGGCAGCTCTCCTCTCTGTTTGACTGACTGGCAAGGAAACCGAGGTACAGACAGCTTGGGTGACTTAGAAGGTCAGAGAGCTTGTGAGAGAGTCGAGCTCAGGCTGTCTGGCTCTGGATTCTCACAGCCCCAGGCTCAAATCCTGCCTCCTCCAGGAAGCCTTCCTTGACATTCAGGCTCAGGCAGTGGACCCTCTCTGGGCTTCTGCATCAAAGCCTGCACACTCTGGGTGGTCACTCCTGGGCTGGTTTGGTCACCGCTGTGTCCCCAGCCCTGCTCAGCATGGGGCCAATACTTGAGCGAATACATGAGTAGGTGAATGTAATCAATCAGTGAATCAGTGGGTGTTGAGATCTCTTTGGGGCCACCCTCTCATTCATTTCTCCCTAGCAGGTCTTCTCCTCAGCCCCTGGGGGGAGGGGGCATATCTGCTCTGTCTGGGTGCCTGGAAGCAGGGTCTGGGTTCCGTCTTTCTGAGGCGGGTAGGATAACTGTACTGGGGCTTGGGGGTGGGGGGGCGGTTCCACTGAGACCTCCAGCCCAGCCCCCAGAGCCCTCCCTGAGATGCGATCCCAGGAAGGCTCAGAGGGTAGCAAGTTGGATGGTGAGAGCTGTTCCCAAGCATGCCAGTAAACCCTCCTTCCCAGCTTTGGGGTGGGAGGTAGCCCGTTTGTGCCTGATTTAATTTACTATTTGCATTTCCCATGCAGGGCCACAGGGGAAGCACCAGGTTTGGTCAGAAGCAGAAGGAAGGGGTGGGGGGGGCGGGGAGCCCAGCTGGAGCCTTTCCTGGGGTTTCCATGGGAAAAGCAAGGCAGGCAGGGGAAACAGCTTAGGATTGGCTCCTTCGGATGTTGGATGTCAGTGGGCTCTGGGCTAGAGGGGTGTTCTCCAGCTGCATGTACCCCATCCTGGGTGATTTAGGGAAGCTTGGTATATAAAAGTTATTAGATCAAGGGAGTAGGTGGAGTGTGGGCTTGGGATTGGCTGGATTGCATATGAAAGATGTGTACAAAGGCAGGTGAGTTGTCTCTAGGAATTAGTAGCCCTGGAAGGGGCAAGTCTCTTCAGCCAGCTAAGAACCCCCCTCCCTCCCCGCACCCCCGCCCCAAGATGTTAAAACATGATGAACGCAGAGGTGGGCTTAAAAGGGAGGGAAGTGAAGGGGACAAGTAAATCCAAGTTCTGCACGGAGCTCCGACGGAGGCCTCAGATCGGCCTTGGCTGTCCCCCCCGGGGCCTCAGGCAGGTGGCTGCCCTCTTGGGTTTCCTCATCTGTAACAGGTGGGGCTCAGAGTAGTCCCCGTCCTGGGAGATAGCAGGTGACAGGCATAAGCAGAGCGGGGGACACAGATGGTGAGAGGAGAGCCGCACAGGAGCCCACAGACTGAGTTCAGATCCACTTATGCACCATGTTACACATTCTTGCAGAGCGTCCAGCAGAATGGCTCCATCTACATCCACGTCTACTTCACCAAGAGTGGTTTCCACCCAGACCCCCGGCAGAAGGCCCTGTACCGCCGGCTCGCCACGGTCCACATGTCCCGGAGTAAGCACCCCATGCCGTGCAGCGGACCCCCCCCCCGTGCCGGGCCCATGGGGGCAGGCAGGAAGCCCAGGCCCAGGGAGGCTGGGGTCGGCGGGCTGGGCTCGAGCCCCACCCACCCTCTGCACCTCTGTGGACACCTGTGAGCGGACGGGAGAGGAGTCAAAGAGCAGGCAGAGAAAGGGACTTCTGAAGGGCAGGGGACAGTGGTCAGAGAAGGGCGGGGCTGGCTCGTGCACGCTTCTGGGCCTGGTCAGAGCAGACACTCGGGAGCAGTCTGTGAATGAACACCAGAAGGAGAGAGCAGGGGAAACGGGAGGACTCTGGGCTATGTTTGATCCCGTGTGAGGTCTGTAAGTGCGTCTGTGTTACCCCAGTCCCTGCGAATGGGAGCCACAAAAACGCGCCACCCTCTGGGGGCCTTGTGCGGAGGTGCCTGGCTCCCGGGTGCCCCTTTTAGATGGTCCCATGAGAGCATGCTGTGAGGGCCGTGCAGCCGGACGAGGTCCCCCATTCTCATTCTGGCTGGCCACCCGGCCATCCCGACTGCAAGCACAAACCCCAGGGACTGTGAGCGACCCCAGGAAGCCTTGGGTCCGGGCTAGCCATTTGCGACTTCTGACATGGCCCAGTAGCGAGCAGGGGTTTTCTCCACCCAGAGCATCGTCTTCCATTTCATCTCTTCTTGCACACACATGGTTCAAAATTCAAGTAATTCAGCAAGACAGTGCAAGTCCTCAGTCTCCTGTTCCCCTCCCCCCTCTTCCCCCGGCCCCACTCCCCACAGCCCACTGCCTGCAAGTTCCTGTCGCTGTTTCTCTGTTACTTAACCTCCAAAGCTCCCCTGAGGAGAGAAAAGCCCAACACAGGAACGAGAATTTTGAGGAGATTAATATTCGTGTTTAGGTGCTTTTGAGTACTTGGCTTATTGGCATCGGAGCCACGTGCTGAACGTAGTCCTTTTTCCCTTCCTGTCCCAACTTCTCGTTTTGTATGAGATTAGTCGTGGTTGTGTCCTTTTCCTCCCTCCTGGGGTCTTTGTCCTTGAATCCACTGTCTCCTGATTGGCAGCCCTGGGGTTTACTTGAGTTTCAGCAGATCTAGAAACTCAGTGGCTCCCTCGGAAAGTTCCCTTTCCCCTGTCATGAATCTCGTGTGCCCGCCTCGCTTTTATTTCATTGCGCCTGGGGATTTAGTTCAGATCCCTCCGGCTGTTTCTGCGTGGGGCAGCAATGGATGTGCTTCTACTTGTTGGGTTAGGCCTTCCCTAACTTCGGGGGTATAAAAATATCCCAAAGGATGATAATTTTTTCATTATCCTCTGTAGTGGGCAAAAATAACAATTGGTGAACCCATATCAGCCTCCAAAAACTGATCTGGAAAAGTCCCCTCGTGTGTGGTGAGCCTGTTCTGTGATCGTGTCTGTGGAATGTGGTCCGTGGGATGTTCTGCCCAGCTGGCTTCCGTTAGCAGGATCTGGTGCAGGCAGAGGCGAGCAGAGGGAGCGTGGCTTGCATGGGTAGTCTCCACAGTTGTGGCCCCGTGAGCGGCATGGATCGGGGGTCCGGCTTAAATGTGCCTGACGCCTCAGAGGTGGCCTTGAATGTGACCCAAGAGAGCGGCTGCTCTCTTGCATCCCATTTGCCCCCCCATCGACGCCACTGTTCTCTTCTGTGGTTCTGCCTTTGGGGAACGTGCTCAGTATCGAGGCGTGGTTAAGGTCACGTCCACGGTCAGTGTGACACATGTTGGCATGGTCTGCGAAAGAGAATCTGCAGCCCCTGGACCTGAAAAGCCCACTAGGATTCGCCAGGCCTCCCTCCCCCATCTCACAGCTGGGACCCCTTGGAGCAGGGACGTGAAGGGGCTCAGAGCTGGCCACACGCCAAGTCCAGAGGGAAGAACGAGAGTATGGGGTCAGAAAAGCCCCCCTCTCCCCGGAAGACCGGTAGTCAATACCTAGAGCAACACAGTCCCATAGATATAACACCAGCCCCGCAAGTCCTTTGTGCTTCCTAGTGGCCACGTGAGTGTTAGTAATAATTTAATTGAAGTCAACATATTGTCACTTCCACATGTAATCAGTGTAAAAAATTAGTGAGCTATTTTACATTCTTTCTTGCGTTAAGTTTCGAAGTCCACTGTGTGTTTTATACTCACAGCAGATCTTGGTTCGGACCAGCCACCTGGTCAGTGTCCGTAGCCTCACGTGCCCATTACTGTACTGGCTGGTGCAGTTCTAGAAGCTGTAACTCCTAGAAAGGGGGGCTCTTCTCCCAGACAGAAGTCAGGTCCATCTCATGTTACAATCCAGTCTGAATGCCACCCAGTTGTAGAATGTTCTCCACTTAAACCAAAGCCTCTCTCCTCCTGGGGCTGGGCTGGGCACAGCTCCTCCCTTCCCTGGACAGCCTCTCCCAGGTGTGGAACAATGGCAGAGCGTGTCCCCCTGGAAGGTTTCCTCCAGGAGGCCCACCCTCGGGTGTTTCCTGTGTTCCCCGGGGGTGGGGGCAAGGTCTCACATGAACTAACATGATAGGAGTGGGGGTAGCGTTCATGGTAACAAGAAAGAGCAGCAGGCCCTGGGCTGAAACCGAAAGCCAATTCCCAGAAGCATTTTTGAACTTGAGCTCATCCATAGACGCCCCGAGCCCTGGTTCTGGGCGGGTGGGAGGGATCTGGGCCCTGTGGTTTGTGGGAATGTGATGGGCACGGACGCGGCCTGGCTGTGCTCTTCACAGTGGTCCTGCCAAGAAGGGGTGGTGCTTTGAACCCCCTCCTCCAGAGGAGGGACTGAAGCCCAGGGAAGTGACGTAGCTCACCAGCGTCCCTCAGGGAGACAGAGCCAGGATATGACCCCAGAGCCCCCGCTCTTGGCCAGCTCCCTTTCCCATTTCCCCATCTCTCCTGGGCCCGCAGGGGCAGGATGGAGAAGTCACCAGAGGGGCAAGCCGTAGTTCGTCTTAGCATAAGGAAGAGTGAAAAGTACCAGGCCAGGGTGGAGGAGGGGAGATGGGGCATAAGCAAGCACCGGCCTCCTCTTCCTGCCAAGTCTTGGCAATCTTCCAGGCCGGGCAGCAGGGAGCCTGTAGTCCACCTGGCCCCCGCAAGAGAAGTGAGGTCCACTCGTGGCTGGGGATTCACAGCCCCATAGTAGTTCTCATATTGGTGGCTCGGGCCTTCTCCAGAACTGTCGGCAGCCTGCCTGTTGATGTTCACGGGGTTCTACTAGTTGTCAGTCCTGGGGTTCGTGGACTGGAGGAGGCAGAGAGCAGGCCAGCCAGCCGACGGGGAGGCAAACTGGGGGCCAGGATAAAAAGTGGGGAGGGAGGCAGAAATGGCGAGCAGGACAGCAGGATGGCCTCCTGCAGTGGGGTGGGCAGGGAAGCCTGCGGAAGAGGAGCATTTCACCAGGGACCGGAAGGCTAAGAAGGAGCCCACCGGGAAGGTTCCGGCCACGGTGGACGTGTGCCAGGGAGATGGAGCAGGGCCTCCAAAGGCCCAGGACTGGCAGATTTGGGGAGGGAGGAGTGAGGCGGGCGAGGGCAGGAGGTCATTGGGGCCGTGGTGAGCATCGCAGGCGCCCTGCTCAGGGAGCGGGAGCCTTCTGGGTTTCTGGAGCAGCAGGAGAACAACAGACACTTGGTTTAAAAGAATTGCTGGTTGCCCTGTGGAGAGCAGGTCATGGGGGCAAGGACTGTGATCATTGGGAGGGGGACGCCGTGGCTGGCCTGGGGTGGGGCCCCGGAGGTGGGAGGAGTGGTTGGATGTGAGGCACGAGCTGGGCTGAGGGTTGGGGGGGTGTCCCTGGAATGGCTGATGGAACGGATGGAGCAGATTCTGGAGAAGGAAGACTCCAGGTTTTTGCCTGGGGCAGTTTGGCAGGTGTGGGTGTCCCTGCCAAGATGGGGAAGTGACGGGATGAGGTCTGAGACGGCAGCTCAGGCTCTCGGGCTCCCGTTGCCGTCCCCTTGTTTCGGGGTGCAAGAGCACATTCGGGAGACCAGTGAGTGGCTGGTGGCGGGCAGAGGTCTGGTGTCTGGTGCCAGTCGCTGTCCTGTCTGCCCTCTTGCCTCCGCCTCCCCTCCCACAGTGATCAACAAATACAAGCGCCGGCGATTTCAGAAAACCAAGAACCTGTTGACGGGAGAGACAGAAGCCGATCCAGAAATGATCAAGGTAAACGGGAGGGGAGCTGTGGGGCCTCGGGGGAGCGTCTGGGCCCTTCACCGCCCAGCAGCCAGCCCCCATGGGTTCCCCTCGGACGCTACCACTGAGCCCCAGCGGAGGCTTGGTCAGGCCGCCTCACGTCTCAGGGCCTCCGTTTCTGCTCTGGAAACCAGGCGAGGAAGCAGAACTACCTCTCAGATTGGGGCGGGTTTCAGGCGAGGGTGTAGCAGCCGGCACCCGGGGAGCAGGTACTTAGACGGACTTAGCCGCTTCGCCCAGCCCTGTTGAGAAGGTCCTGTCACTACTCCCGTGTTCAGACAAGGAGACTTGCCCCAGCTGTCACAGCCAGGACGTGGCGGGGCCAGGATTCACGCGCAGGCAGCCCGGCCCAGAGTAGGCAGCTGATAACATGACTGTGGCAGGAATACTCCCTGGCAGGCTGGGGGTGCTGGGGGTGCTAACCTGTGCTGGGCACCAAGAGCCCAGGGAAGGGAGAGGGAGGCTTTCTGCACAGGGATGGGAGGGACAGGAGGGACGGGAGGGACGGCCCCCGCGCGGAGGCTGCGTGTGGATCCCACACTCGTGCTGTCACCAGGCCATGCCTTGCAGCCTGGCATATGACCGCATCCACATCCTCAGGCCTCGGTTTCCTGCTCTGTTAGGTGGCTGGGGGGCAGGGGGCCGGTGGGATCCCGGGCGGGGGGTGGGGGAAGATTCTGGAAAGGCTGGTACGGGGATCATCTGAGGTAAGCCCTCGGCCAGCGGTCACTGTGGTGGTTTACTCTTCTGCTATCTCAATGTCACGGAAGCCCTCAGGAGGAAGCAGGCAGGTGCCTCTGAGGCCCCCCTCCCCCAACCCCGCCTCACCCCATCTTCCCTCAGAGGGCCGAGGACTACGGTCCCGTGGAGGTGATCTCCCACTGGCACCCCAACATCACCATCAACATCGTGGACGACCACACGCCGTGGGTGAAGGGCAGCGTGCCGCCGCCTCTGGACCAGTGTGAGCCCCCAGCCCCCTCGGGCCCCGGCCCCAACTCCCTGCGAGATCTGACTGGGTCTCCACCACTCCCTAGCTCCCCGCCCCCCCCCCGCCACGGCACTCCCCTTTCTCTCCTCTCCTTCCTGCACCTCCCGGTGACCCCAGCACTGACCCCCTGTGTGCCCAAACCAGTCCTCTGGCAAGCCCCATGAGCTGTTGCCAACTTTTGAAGTTGGGACGGCATCGCTGAAAAACCCAGATTCCTGACTTCTTTTACAACACCCTGATGCGTGGTCATTGGCCGGGCAGCCGTGGGTGGGAGCCGAGCCAGGGATATCCCCTTCAGGTGGGGCCTGCCCAGCCCTCTCCGCCCCATCCCCTCCACGGAGGTCAAGCAGCTCTTCAGCTCCCCGTGGTGTAGCCGAGAAGCGTCCCCTGTTCTCTGGTCTCTGCCCGGGGTCCCCGTGGACATCTGAATCTGCCACCTTTGCCCTTGGAGGCCTGAGGGATGTCCCCGCCCTCTTGGATGCCGGTGGCCTCTGGCCCCGGCTGAGCGGTGCCCCTGCCCCACGTGCCCGCAGATGTGAAGTTCGACGCCGTGAGTGGGGACTACTACCCCATCATCTACTTCAACGACTACTGGAACCTGCAGAAGGACTACTACCCCATCAACGAGAGCCTGGCCAGCCTGCCACTCCGCGTCTCCTTCTGCCCGCTCTCGCTCTGGCGCTGGCAGCTGTACGCCGCCCAGAGCACCAAGTCGCCCTGGAACTTCCTGGGTGACGAGCTGTACGAGCAGTCAGACGAGGAGCAGGACTCGGTGAAGGTGAGGCGGCACGGGGGCTTTCCAGCCCCTTCCTGGGCTGCACGAAGGGGAAGTGGGCCCGCCGGCAGCCTGGGGACCTCCAGCCCGAGCTCCCTGCCCAGTTTCGCAACCTCTCGGGCCCCCTCCCCACAGCAGGCCCCGGCTGGCTCTGGGGGTCCTGTCTCCGAGGCTTCTGGGGGCCTCCTTGTCATCCTTGTCACGGCTTTTCTGTCGCCTCAGCCAGGCCTTTCTGGTCTGGACCTGCACCCCCGCCCCCAGCCTGTCTCCTTGACCCTGGGCTCCGACTCCGAGCTTCTGCTCCCTCTTACCGCGGCCTTGAACGTCTTCTGTTCGCACCTTTCTCTTGGCCTGCGTCTGTGACCTGGAGACTTGGCTGTGCCTCCCTGGGCTTGTCTTCAGTGCTGAGTTTCCAGTCCTCACCCCAACTGTCCCTTCATCTATCTCGGTCCCTGCCTCTCGCCCCGTCACTGTCTCTCCGTCCCCCTGACCCCCACCCGTCTGCACAGCACTCACCTGGCCCTCTGTGCCCCTCTGCCCACCCTCACCCACTCTCCTGCTGGCCGGCATGCTCTCTCCTTCCCCGGGGCAGCTCCAGGGCTCGGGGCCTCTGGGGTCCAGGGGAAGGAGAGCGGGGCTGGCTAGTGAAGGTGCTGCAGTGGTCACCCCTGGGCGAGGGCACGGCTGTGCTCACAGGCATCGCCCCCCACCCCCACCCCCAGGTTGCACTCCTAGAGACCAACCCCTACCTGTTGGCGCTCACCATCATCGTGTCCATCGTCCACAGTGTCTTTGAGTTCCTGGCCTTCAAGAACGGTAGGGTGGGCCCCTGGGGCCAGTGGGAGGCCATGGGGGGGCTGGGGATAGGAGGGTGTGTGGTGGGGGGTAGGGCCTGCCCCCTTCCCCCTCTTCCTCCCTCCCCATAGGTTCTCCCTCTATGTGGGGTCTCTCGGCCCCACTTTCCAGAGGCCTGAGGAGCTGGGGAGGGTAATGGCCCCAAAACTCCCAGCCCAGAAACTCCCATCCAGCGGGTGTGGCGCTGGGGAAGGAGCTGGCCTGCTGCTCCGGTGAAGGCCGGGATGGCACCACCAGGAAGCGGGGCCGGGGAACTCCGAAGCCGGGATCAATAAGGGAAGCCCCAGAGCCGCTCCTGCTGCCCCACACAGCAGGCTTCTCGTTGGAGACCCTTCGAGGCTGAGTGGACAGGGCCCACCTGAGTGGGAAGGTGACAGCCCTGTCCCCAGAGGGCCCCTAGGTTGCGAAGGCCAGCAGTGCTGGTGGCCAGCGCCCTCATTGGTTAGCTTGTGGAGTCCCCACGGCCCCAGCCCCACGAGGGAGCCTGTTGTTACCTCCAGGCTCACAGGTGAGGAAGTGGAGGCTCAGGGAGGTTAGGTGACTTGCCCGCAGTCACGCGGCTGCCAAGTGACAGAGCCAGGATTTGGACCCAGGCAGGGGCTGCGACACCCGCTTTCTTCCTCGAAGCCGTGTGGGCCACCGCGTCCTTCCTAGGGAGGCCTGCCACTCCGCACCTTGTGCTGGCAGCAGTCCTAACGGGTGTTACCGTTTTTGACAATACTGCCACGGTTGAGCGTTACCTTCTAGAAGTTCCTAACATCCAAACTGGACGGTAGGTGGTGGCGACCACCGGGAGGGAGGGAGTTGTTAGCGGGGCCACAGGGAGCACTTACCGTGTCCAGCCACGCCCTGGCGCCCAGACTTCCTGCTGACTTCCAGCTGGGTCGCCCGCGGTCCCACTTGCTCCTGAGAAATGAGGGCACGGGCGGGGGGGGGATGGTCCCTCACCCGAGGTCACCCAGTGGGGGGCATGGGCCCTGGGCGCCTTTACAACCCGTGCTTGTTGCCTCCCTGGCCTGAGGCGGGACTCACATCTACCCGCCTCTAACCGAACTCCGTCTCCAGACCCATTGTTCCCAGTCAGTGCTGGGGGGCTCTAGGAGTGTCCCCCTCAGGTCTCCTCAGGGCCCGATGGTCCGATAGGGGGGTGGGGCAAGCCTGCCGAGTGTGCCGGAGCTCTGGATTCGGAATCAGAGTGGGTGGACAGCTTTGCACGCCGATGCGGGGGCCAGCCGTGTGTGAGCCTGGGCCTGGCTTCTCTTCTGTACGACCGGCATCGTGGTGGGTCGGCTGCCTGTGGCTGCGGGTGTTAGGCCGCGCTGGTGCCTGCTTTGGCCCATGGGAGGCCAGGGCTCAGACGGGGGCCGCGTGGCCCTGTGGGTGGGGGTCCAGCAGGGGCACGGGAAGGAGCTCTGGTTGGGGACCAGAGCCCAGGGCCCTGTCTGCGCCCCAGGAGTGCCTAAGGTCCTTCCGGGTTTCAGGGTGGTGGGCTGGAAGAGCTGGTCTCGAAGTACACGGCCCAGAGCCTCCTGCCCAGGGGAGGCGGCCTGCCACCAGGTGGACAGCCAGGTTCTGGTGTCGTGCGGACCTGGCTTGCATCCACATTCTGCCAGGGCAGCCTCTGTGGCCTGAGGAATGGGGCTTCCCTGAGCAGCCTCAGCTCCCAGCGTGTGGAGAGCACCAGGACGTGGCAGGGGCCACCGTCCCCATCCCTGCCGCCACCACCCTGTTGACTGCTCTGGGTGGCGTCCGTGAGGCAGAGACTCTTCATGGGAGGGGAGGGTGGTGTGTACCCCTCCCCCTTGGCAGACCCAGCACCTCATTGGGGGGTTCTGAGGGGGATGGGGCCTGAGGGAGCTGCGGGAGGGACTCGGAGGGACGCTCCACAGCCCCTCGGCTTCACCCCAATCTTGTGCAGATATCCAGTTTTGGAATAGCCGGCAGTCTCTGGAGGGCCTGTCCGTGCGCTCCGTCTTCTTTGGCGTTTTCCAGTCTTTCGTGGTCCTTCTCTATATCCTGGACAACGAGACCAACTTCGTGGTCCAGGTCAGCGTCTTCATCGGGGTCCTCATCGACCTCTGGAAGATCACCAAGGTCATGGACGTCCGGGTAAGGCCGGGCCCCTGTGCTCTTCTGGGGGCCGCCGGGGGGTTGAAATGGGGGTTGTCTGCCCCAGCCAGACCCTGGAGCTGGCCCCTGGGGGTTTCCCAATGCCTGTTGCGCTCCCAGGACCAAGGGGATTTTTGCACCAGGGGAATTTTTGGGTCACACGTGGGGCAGGGGAACTGGGAACAGTGAGGAAGGGCAGGGGCTGGAACTGGCGGGG